AGCAAGGGAAGAAAGCATCACGTTCTAATCTATCGGGACCAAGTGGATAGAGAAGGGACCAAGTGAGCAGGAAACAGGGCAATTCTGCAGGAAAATGTCTAGATACGTCACCGATAATGCTTCATAGTTTCCTTATAATATAACAATTTTGAATTTTTACATTTTATTGTCCCAACTGCATATTATTTAAAAATGTGTAATAATAACAAATAATAATATAATAATATTAGTAATGATAAAAACACAGTTTCCAATCTATAGAATCAATATCAGTTCACTCAGACTGCTAGAGAGGTCACAGCCAACTAATTAAGCGAGGTCACCCAACAGGCGAGTGAGTGGATGTCCGTCAAAATCGCGGGCTGAAGCACATCGTGCGACGTCTGCGGAAGTAGAATAGTTTAGTAGCGTCAGCTGATACTGGCCTAATTTCGACGGACGTGTGGAACGTGTGATCAACAAGATCAACAGTGTGATGCAGTAGGAATGGAATTGTCGCGTCGCGGCGAGATGGGCGCGGCGCACGAAGTAATGTAGCAGAATGCAGCAGCAGGTAAGAAACGCAGGAACAAAGGAACTAATAGTAGAATCATGCCTTAAATAAGGATCGCATATCGATTGAGCTGTACGAGGAATGCTAGAGCCGTAGCAACAGCGAAGCGAAGTCCGCGACAGCCGCGTGCGGCGAACCGACTACGCAAAACTGTCCCTTCTGCCCGTTTCATGTGGTTCGGAGCGCATCCGAATGCTTTAACGTTCAGGGAGCTTTGTACGACCTATTGGCTTCAGTCTTAACCTCCGTATTCGTATAAGATCAACATTGTCCTCTCCTTCCTTGGCGTTAACAGAGCGCAGTGGTGGGGTTCGCTTTTATAGGTATCTTCTTCCTCCGATCAACGAAATCATCTGCAGTCACCTTGTTCTTGAGAAACACGAAAGAAATATAAAGGTATGATGTATGTCGGTCAAGAGAACAACGGTGTTCACTAAACCGTAATTACACAGTTCACGATGATTTTGGATTATCCAGATTATGACGAAAAATGAAAGAGAACTTGGAGAATAGTGCGATGGAGGGGAAGGAAACACAGCAATCGGTACTTCCATAGTGATGAAGGGCTTTGAAATAGTCGTCTAAAGGGTTTGGACGAGAATAAGAGCGGAAAGTAACTAGAAGGTGCGTTTGGATTAGCTATACCTTGCATATCATTGCGTACGCGTTGGTCGTGGTGCGAATAGCTGACTGCAGTTAGCCAGAATGCCCTTTAGAATACATTCAATCATAAGCATAACTTAACAGAAACATCATTAACGGCAAAGATAACCCACTTTTTTTTATCCCCTTGAGATAGAAAACTAGATAAAGGACCGCATCAGCAAAAAGAATAACCGAGATTAATAGAGTTAGAGTAAGACATCACCTCACCACCCGGCAATCAGCTGATTGCATCATGGGTCCTGGTACGAATAGAGGAACCTGTATCGCCTGGACACTCGCCTGACACATCAAGCGTTCGATAGCGGGATGCCACGATGTTCTGAAAATTTGTAAGACCCATAATCACAACTGGAGCTCGCACGTTAGGAACAATGCCACCAAAGAACTGTTCTGTGCATCTCGAGAATTCGAGCTCATTAGGCTTCCGTTCACACAGAACATTGAACACACGAATCATCCACGTAATGCTATGCGGGGTTTCTGTGCAACGAGAAGAATTCCACAGAACAGCTCCAATTGCATAAACTTTTATGGAATCCTTCAATTGTGGTGATATTCAACATTTCAGCATACAATAAGCTATTCAATTGACTGAATACAGATTCCAGAGAAATCGTCTTTGTCCCCTTAAAAAGGTGGCTTCTCAGGAGCCTCCATGTCTTCCCTTGCCAGCTGCAGTTCCACACAAGCCTTGGATTTTCTCTCGTAGATTGTTCTCCTTCAGATCTCTTCAGAAGTTTCCGTAGCAGAGGTTCAAAATTATGGTTCTGAAGAGGGGTTCTAGTTTTTTGAAGCGAGAGGAGGAACGGTTGGTTCCAAAGATCGCTTTCGATAGCTACTGACTACTAACACCTCTTCACATTGAAGCAGCGCTCGCCAGGGTTACACGAGTTTTGGGTAATAAAGAAATAGAGCTCTACGCCGCTCCGTCTTGTGGGTTTGTTATTATTGTGCCGATTAATTAGGACCTTGAGGACTTGAAAGTGATCCAACGCTGCAGATCTGAGGCTCACCCGATCAAGCACGCACATGGGCTAGGCAGTTTCATCAAGTCCCAGAAACTCGAACGCCAGAAGTTCACAGCTAAGTACCCAAACCTCTGCGGTCTCATCAGTGTTGAAATCTCACCCGATCAATAAGGGACCACTAGAACGCCATTTATGGCTGTTAGATAGGATTTATGCGGTGATTCCGAAGTCCAAAGAAGGGTATGTATGGCTGAAGTTAGCTGTTACAGCGATGTATTCATTCCAGATGTTCAGCTTAGGTTTTCTCTCCAGGTGTGTAAAACTTCTAAGATATTTCCAGCACCGATCTCATTTTCATGGGCTAGGATTTTGTGTTTAATACTAGAACTCAATAATCGATTCTTACTTTTAACTTAATTAATTCTTATCCTATTTGTTATACGAATGTGCAGCTGTTCAGATGAACTTACCAATTCTTTTGCTACTCGCAGTGTCGGTTGCGGCGTTGCCCAGGCAGGTGAGTATTAATCCTTCCATGACTTACTCTTTAAAGCCAACGGCCTAAGTCTGGCCCCTAAAGATCGTGCTGGTAATGAAAATGAACCGGCCAGTAATGGGGAAATGGGTTTGGAGATGAGTCACTGGTTTTGAGAATGTTCAAAATGTGCGCGAGGAATATTTTCGCCATGAAGTTTAGAGTGTTGCTTTGCCTAAATAATTCTTTATTATTGAATATACATTTATTTGTTATTTACAAAAATATATCCATTAATTATTCATAGTATTTATTTGATACTTACGAGTTATTTAATCTCACTCAAAGCACCCATTTTAAAATTTACCTGCCTATTTCAGAAACGCGGAGATAATGCTTCAACCGCCACGGATGCCAATACATCAGCTACCCCAGCAATCTTGGAATCTGATTCCATAACAACAATGGCAACTACACCGGCAACAATGTTGGCAAATGACTCCTCAACCACACTAGGAGCTACACCTTCATCATTGCCTACAACGTTGAGAACCACACCTTCGAAAACATCTGCGACTGCTATAGGATCATTATCTCGTCTGCCACCATCGCCACTACAGAGACGTAAACGATGGGTTAATCCTTACCCACCGAATGGACTAATGAGACAGTGGGGAGTGATAGGGTCAGGTGGAGGACCAGTAGAGCAGGGTGGGGTACCGATGGGACCAGGTGGAGGTCCTATGGGACCAGGAGGACCAATGGGACCAGGTGGAGGTCCGATGGGACCATGGGGTAGACCGATGGGACCAGGCGTAGGACCGATGGGACCATGGGGTAGACCGATGGGACCATGGGGTAGACCGATGGGACCAGGCGTAGGACCGATGGGACCAGGCGTAGGACCGATGGGACCAGGGGGTGGACCGATGGGACCAGGAGGACCAATGGGACCATGGGGTGGGCCTATGGGAATGAGGGCGCCCATGTGGAATTATCCACGACTTTGAGACCGATCACGGTAGCAGGTTCCGGATGATCTTGAGAAATTGACTTTCTTACATCTTACAGTGTCTTCATCAAGAATTTCTCTACTGTGTGATCAATAATGAATATTGAACCATCAAAAAACTTTCAACAAGATCAAAAGCAGTGGTTGATGATGAAAATGTTTTATTCTGAACACACGAAGGACGTTGGTAATTCTGAAATAGCAGAGAGTTTATCCTGACAGCTATGCTTTCTCCTTTATCCCACTTCATACGAGGCTGTAATACTCCCCATCAGCGTGGAGGTGATGAGCTTTGGCTTCCCAGATTTTCGAATTGGGCTCTAATCCCAACTCCGTGGGCCTCCTCAACTCCTCTCAGGCTGTTGGAGACAGTTCTATATTGAGCATTAACTTGCACAGTGTTGACTGCAGTATGCCAAGAATGACCAAAACTGCCTTCCATTGTCGCAATGAGCCACGGCTAGTTGGTCGAATTCCCTACATGGATATCCCTTGCAAATAGAGCAGCCTACACGAAGGCCTCAAAACTCGTTCTCCTTTGATGTGGCATTCAGCCAGATTAATGTTTGGCCTATCTAAGTCGCTTTGTGATCTGGTTGCGCAACATATGGTATACTGAGAGTTGCCACCACAGATTCGTAATCGGCAGAATAACATTATTACCGTAAACTGTGGTTTCATATTAAAATAAGTTGATTTCTGTACCCCGGCAGTCGACACACTCAAAGACACCAAACAGTTGGTCTGTACATTTGAGAAATCGAGTCACACAGGACGATGCAATGAATATATGCATTATTCACACAATATCATACGGTATTCTGATAAAATAATAGGATTACACAAATTACATGATATTAATATTTCATACATAGACAATATTCTACATATATACTCAGCTGACTTGATAGAAATAAGGGAGTTGTCTTCAAACAGAAGGCAGCGTCCCTGACGGCATAGATTCCAATCCATTCTGCCCCAGCTAACTGCGGTTCCTTACAATTCGAAGGTTTTGTCTACCACTTCCTCTCTTCTTCGGTATCACTCCATAGAGCCTTCTCAGTTTATGTTTGTCAACAGCGGCTTCCAAACATATGCAATGAAGTGTGACTACTGAATCCTGCATTATTCCTTCCAATTACCCACATCTCGAGGTTTTGAAGGAGAACAAAATATTAGGTTGTAAGGAAAGTTCTTGTCGTTCTGACAGCTAAGTTTCAAAAAATCATAACTTTAGGAGGTTGCCCAGATGTTTGAATGGGAAGTGTTGACAAGTCTGATGAGTAAGGAGGATGGAGGAGAATCTCGATCTGCAGTTCATTCAGCATCTGCAAGACGATCTGTGGCACATACGGTCACGCACTATCGTGCAAAAGCAGTGAAGCATGACGATAAACGATTGCTGGCCGCATTTACTCCAGTTTCATGTACATTTCGTTGACTTGGCTTAGCTCTTGGCTTGTGAAGAGCTCTGGAGGCTTCTCTACACTTACTCACTGAGCAGAGCGTTTTCTGTTGTTGTATACGATCACATCGATACGATGAAGGAAGGGCGCAGTATCATCATTCCTTCTCAGCATGGAACTTGAAATTCCTAGATACCTCAGTTTCTACTGCTCCCTGAGTTGGTGTAGCACCCTCTTGTTAAGTTTCATCAGGTCAGCCATGACTGTATGGGAAACTTCCATATGCTCCGCAAACTCGCACAAGGGACGTCTTTCTTCTTCTACTGCTCTTAGCAAAGCATCGTGAACAACAAACCAAGGTCTGCCAACTCACTTTTCGTCTTTCGGTGACTCGTCTCGATTCCTAGATTTCTACAAGCAGTGAGTGACGAACCGTTCGCTCATATGCAATGCCTGCTGTCCATGCAACGTTGTTGTTTGTGGCTGTCTCTTTGCGAATCGGCCTAGCTTGAACTCGTTGAGTAAAACCGATCGAAAAGCAGTCTTATCCATTCTACAAAAAAAACATTTAAAAAATTTCAAATTCGCACGGGATTCCAGGAAAATTATTTCGACAAAAAGAGCTTATGGCTTACCTAAGAAGCACAGTAGGTCGATGGGTCTGATTTGACAGCTGCCAACATTTGAATTTATAATATATGGCGCCCGCGGGAAGTGTGAGAACTTCCCTCACAATCTAATAGAAGGGAAAAAATAAAGTCTCATAATCTTCGAATACCTTTATAGGAGAAAGCTTCGTGACTCAAGTCTCACGTGCAGCTAAGCGAATTCGAATAGATTCTGGGCAAGCTTGACGGATGTATGACTTCTCACTGAATGACCTGAAATGACAAGGGAAAGGTATTCCTTTTTCTGTGCTCTTCGTCTTTCAGAGTTTTTTCTAAATGGGATCTGACTTAATCTATCAACTAGTACACTCACATCCACTGATATCACCTATATAATTATGCAACTGTTTAGATGAACTTACTGATCCTTTTGCTACTCGCAGTGTCGGCTGCCGCGTTTCCCAGGCAGGTGAGTACGAATCCTTTCATAAACTATTATATTTTGTAAAGTCCACGTACGGAATATGTTTCTCGTCGAAAGGTATTGCAGATTTCAATCAGTTAATAAAATAAACGCTTCTGAGCGATTGAGATGAAAAATGCACAAGCGGTATGTCACAGACCTCAAGCTCGACTCTCATCGAGACACGTAGTGTTACCTGAAATAAGTGATCTATCTATTCATATAAGAGGCCAACGAAGTGAACCGAGGCACCTTTCAGCCTTGCTTTTGAGAAACCTATTCCTCTGTTGTTTCTTAATTTTTAATTCTTAAATCACCTTACTAGGTCAACCTCTCCAGCGTATTACTGTCATGGTGTAGCGCGTTCACTACGCATAAATAAATAAATAAATAAAAGTAGCGCACCTTCACAGACTCGAGAAGGCCGGTGAAAGAAAAGATGTATGGTGGTTTTTATTGAGGCCAACGAAGTGAACCGAGGCACCTTTCAGCCTTGCTTTTGAGAAACCTATTCCTCTGTTGTTTCTTAATTTTTAATTCTTAAATCACCTTACTAGGTCAACCTCTCCAGCGTATTACTGTCATGGTGTAGCGCGTTCACTACGCATAAATAAATAAATAAATAAAAGTAGCGCACCTTCACAGACTCGAGAAGGCCGGTGAAAGAAAAGATGTATGGTGGTTTTTATTCGAAATGAGCTCACCGGTAGCGCTCTCCGCCGCTGTCTTGAACCAACCCAGGAAATCGAGCTGTAGGTAAAATTAGCCGACAAGTAATGAGAAAACAGTAGTGGAGATAAGCACTGATTCTGAGGAAGTACAAAATGTATGCAAGGAAGCTGATTTCCGTAGATTATAGTAGAGCTGTTGCTCTTCCTGAATTCTTTTTACTGCGGTGCCTTATTTGTTAAGAAATTCAAAATAAACTTCACATTGTGCAGAGGAATAAGGGGACCCATTGGAATTTCATTTGCTTATTCCAGAAACGTGATGATCATACTTCAACCGCCCACTCTACAACAATCCTGACGACTACACCTACAACTACCCCCACAACTACACCTACAACAACACCGACGACTACACCTACAACAACACCGACAACGACACCTACCACAACACCGACAACCACTCCTACAACAACCCCCACAACTACACCTACAACAACACCGACAACTACTCCTACAACATCCCCCACAACCACTCCTGCAACAACCCCCACAACTACAACTACAACAACACCGACGACTACTCCTACAACAACACCGACGACTACTCCTACAACAACCCCCACAACTACACCTACAACAACACCGACAACTACACCTACAACAACGCCGACAACTACTCCTACGACTACACCGACAACT